AATTCCTTTTGATTTAAATTTAATATTTTTATAATTGTTCTGACTTGTAATGAGTTTCAGCCAAAAGCAGAGTAGAAAAATCTGAGTCCTGATCTTAGCAAGTCTTGCTGCTGCTTTATTTTTAACCACATTTTTTCCAATAAGTGGTCTGCAGCTGTGAAAACATCAGTAAAATTTAATGTCATCATACATTTGGTCAACCATAAATCTTGACGTTTGGACTGTGTGAAATTTCTGAAACATATTTTGTTATTAAAAGGACACTGTCAGAGTCTGTTGTTTAAAATGGTCCTCTGAAAGCTTTCCTTGCATATAGGTTTTATCTCTTGCATTTGACACATCTGCATATTTCCTCTTTTGAAGGTAATTGAAATTAGTATTACTATTTTTATTTCCTCATTTGTTTGACAATAAAAGAAATGTTTATGACTAAAAATAGCAACTATTGATTTTAACTTCCTGTTGTGGGAGGGGACAAGTGGGGCCTTTTTAAAACAAACAGGAACAGGGAATGTGTTTCTTTTTCTGCCTTTAACTATTTATGTAGACAGCTTCAAGATTTTCTGCTGCTACTGAAGCACTTGACAGCTTGATAACAAAATGTGTATAATAATACAAATAACAGCCTGTGTTGCTGGTGTGGTTTGGTTTGTTTTTTTTCATTCCCATTTTGATTAAAGTTGTAACTGATATACAACACTCTCTCAGGGTACATCTGCACTGCTGTCAGCCGTGTTGCTCAGGCAGAGGTAGCTGAGGCAGCTTTACGTGAACAACTGGAAAGTGCCTTGCTGAGGCAGCAGAGCTCAGTCCAGCCTAATTTTCCCTGGTAGGGTGAGGACAGGAGGATCTTGGGTTCCTCACACTTCAGATATTTGCTATAATTTAAGAGATTTGGTAAGCTGTTCATTTGTGTGTGTACTTTTGGAAGTCATGTCTTTGCAAAGCGTGGTTGTTGTATTTTCAAACACATGCAATTGTTACCTTCATCTGCTGCAGAGGGCTCATCCCAAACGACAAGCTTAATTTTCTTCAGGAGGTCTGGTGCTCATTTCCATTGCTGTGTTTCAAGGTTTTACCACTCTGGAAAGGCTCTCACCAAAACTGCAGGTAGTGGGGCATTCTTCCTAGGCAGGGATGACTAACTAAGGGTGGGAGTTTGGAGAGTTCTCTCCCACCCTCCTAAACACAGAGGTATTTTTCAATTTGCTGTTTAACTACATCACTCTGCTGATGATATTTTCTACTTCGTGGTGGCTCATGAACATGGGCTGAGAGATTCAAGGAGGATCTTTTTTTTTTTTTTTGTTGTAGAATGTCTGGTTTGGTATCTTGATTTGATGCTGTTGACAAGGGATGCCCAAAGCATTTGGAGTAATGTATTGGACAGCCAGAAGCATATTATACATTCAGAACAACTAAAAAGCCTTCGAAGGAAAAGAAAACAGTAACAAATAGTTCTCTAGTAGCAGTCTGTATTTAAATAGGCTGAGTCTACTGCTGGGAATGTGTACTGCTAGGATTGGTTTAGGAGTTTTTCTCCTGACACATGAAGATAGTATTACCAGAATTAACTCACCTTGAATTACCTCAATCAGTCACTACAGTTAACAGTAAAATGAATGGTAAATTCTTTGACACCAGTGAATGTGTATAAAAAATAGCTTCTCTTCAGATTTTCAGTTGTGGTTAAAGGCAGCAATCAAAAGACAAAACAGTGTTAAATCAAAATAATTGTAACCTTTTAGTCATGTGTCTGTGGAGGTTCTGCTCAAACAAACTTTCCACAAGCATGAGATTGTTAAATGATTTATGGACTTTCAATACTTTTTTAAATTACGGAAACATTGATAATTTAAAAAATTTAATTTTCTAAATAATGTGCTTTCTCTCCCATAGTTCCTTATTGGTTGTTTGTAACAGTATTTCTTCTTATCTGATACCTGTGCTGGTTGTAGCGAGAGTGGTGCCCCTACCCCATCCTTATCATGAGTAGTAACAAAGAATATAATGCATTGGTGGGAATGTTGCTGCTGAGAATGTTGTTCCAGGCTCTAGGGGATTAAATGGTTCATGGGAAGCTTCCCCTTGCCCTGTAAACTGTTGGGGTTTGATGTGCAGATTGCAGAGCCTTATCTGCAACACGAGTCACAACAGCTTGCCTGTCTCTTCAGTTTAAACTGCAAACTTTAGCTGGTCAAAGAGTGTGTTTCTAGTGCTAGAGGACCTTTATATGTGTAGCAAGAGATTATAGGGGACTGAGTGCAAGGCATGTGGAGTTATTTTTAAATTAATTTTTATAATCATACATAGCTTATATATTGCTGTAATACCACACTACAGACTAAGACTAAAGCAGCAGGTCCTTCTGGCCATTTGTAATGCACAGAATGAGGTGACCCTCAACATCAGGCTGTAAGGTGTGTTGGGCCTGTGGATACCACGTGGGTTAGAAAGCTGCCTGCTTTAGTAAGCCAGGTACATATGGGGGGGGGACAGGAGAAAATTCCTCTTTTCTAGCATGGATGTTAACTGATACCTGAGGAATTAGTTTGGATAAGATTCTTGGAAGTTGTTTTACAGAATATTCCATCTTTTAGCTACTAACCTGTTCCTTATGATATGAGATTTAAACAGTGGGAGGAGAAAAAAGACTTTTGATGCACCTCTACAGGGTACTGCTGTGATCTTGAATGGTGGAGAAGCATTGTGCAGGTGGTGGAGAATGTTATGGGAAGGTCTTAGTTGTTGTCACACCTGGCTGTAACCACAGAAGGGTTGCTGGAAGATACCTTGATGCGATTAAAAATACTGTGCCTTGAACTTTTTTATGCTTTTCTTTCTGATACAGTGCTAAGTTAATCATTCTATGCTGATAAAGTGAATCTGGGGTGATACTTGTAAAATTTTGCCTTATAAAGTAGACAACATCAGTAAGCTGTTGACTGACTGACCAGTAGTATGTCATTTATATAGCTGTGGTCCTTATAAATACTAAAGCATCCTATGTATTGAACATCCTCAGAGAAAGAGATGGATGGGTATTAATTCAGTTTCCAAAACATCTATATCAGTTATTCTTTTAATTCGGCTCTCATGGCTTCTTAAAAAATCTCATGTTTTACAGGTTTCTAACAGCACTGGTTGCTTCAGAAAAAATTCATATTTTTTCTAGTTATTAAAAAATGTCTTTCAATAATTGTGTAATATTAGCATGTAGAGCTGTTGTTTTTCCCTCACTAGGGCATGTAGCTTCAATTATGTCAATGTTACGGACTGTAGGAGTACTTCTTTTCATGCTGCATGAAATACTACTAATAAAACAAAAGCAAAATAATGTCATGCTCTTAACTATCTGAAGGAAGCCTTCTTTTATTCCACTGCTGTTGTTCTGATGAGACATTGTATCTGAGACTGACTTGTTTACAGTAGGGAAACAATAATTTTTCATATTGAAGTACATGTGTAAGTACTCTAGTACTTAATTAGAGGGGGGGAAAACCTTGTCTGTCCACTGAATGTTCTTTGTTGCTCTCACTGTTTCATCAGTTCAAATGTGGTTTTTCAGCTAGTCCCGTGGCTTTCAGTATGTCTTGCAGTTCAGCAGCAGCAGGGGGAGTAGTGTAGCTTTATTTGGGGGCTCTCCTTGACCAGCACTACAGTGAGTTGATTATTAGCCCAGAGCAGTGCTGGTCAGGCTCAAAATCAGTGCATGTCAGGAAATCTTCTCCTTCGCTCTCCCTAGGTGAGCTGGAAGCAGGATTCTGCAAGCTTTGCCTTGTTGCCCATCTCTAAAGCCCAAGTCCTGCAGATTAGAAGTTTACCTGCTACAAGCAAATAGTGATCAGGTGTTCATGTGGTCAGGCCAGTCAGACTCCCCTCATGAGACTGGAAGGGATTTTGGGACATGCACTGGCTCACCTGTTTGCTCAGAGCAGGGCCAGCACCAAGTGCAGACCAGGACTTTGTCCAGTTTTGCCTTGAAAACCTGCAAGGGTGGAGATTCCTTCACCTTTCTGGCTTACCTGTTCTAATGCTTCATTATTTCCATAGTGAAAGATTTTTCCTAACCCTGTGCCATTGTAGGTCCCTTTCAACTAAAATAGTCCATTCTATGACCGTTGTCCCTTGTTCCCCTGCCATGCACCTCTCTGGAGGTGCCTCATCTCACATTTTATAATGTGCTTTGACACCTCGCTTTGTCACCTACATATTCTATTGAGAAACAGTTTTCATTTTTTTCTACTGTTTTATGTATTTCATAGATTTCTTACTGAAATCTCTGCTCAGATTTTTTTGGTCAGTGACCACACAAAATAAAATATCATCAAATATTCCTGTTTTATGAAAGACCATGTGCTCAGTTTATTATCCCCTGTAACATGTACATCCTCGTATTTCCTATAAGGAACTGCCTTCTGTATTACAAATACACTGAGCTTCCCTGTAACAGTAGTGTCAGATCCTTGTGTGGGTATCATTCCATTGCAGCAAATGTCTTGGGCTTTTTTTTGGCTAGGGGTGGAGTCAGTGCAGAGAGCAAATTTGAAAATGCAATCAAGTACAGGGTAGAGAGCAAATAGCATGGTAATACATGTGTATTCTCATATGTTAAGGAGAAACCAATTTTAAAATTTAATTATTGTGCAATCTAGTATCATGTTGGTCAAATTTAGATTCATGGATTTTTTTGCACCTTTAGATCTCTGTTGTTTTTACTCGCAAGTTAATTTAATCTTGTGCTGCACATAATATGTCACTGTGTTCCCATATGAATTTAAGATAAAAATAGTATTTTCCATGTATCAGCCCAGTTTTTCTCTAGTGAGAATGTGTTAAGGTATTGTGTTACTGCCATGTAGTTGTAACTGTCTTACATTTTTGGCATTTGTTGAATTAAGCCCTTGCATACTTCCTCGCTATAAAAATGTTATTTAGGTAAGTTACTGACATAATAAAATAAATATTTTAAAATTATATTCCTATATACATGTTTGTAGGAAGAAGACCAAGATCAGGATGCCATAGGTGAAAAGGCAGAAGACCAAGATCAGGGTGCAGTAGGTGGAAAGGAAGACCAAGATCAAGATGCCATACGTGGAGAGGAAGAAGACCAAGATCAGGGTGCCATAGGTGGGCAGGAAGAGAAAGAGAATAAGCCATTTCTTTCTCTTTCTCAAATTACTGCTTTGTTAGAAGAAAATCTGGAAGGAGTTGAAAAGTAAGTAGCAATGACAACAATGCTAGGAGCAGTATAATAATGAAATAAAAATTACAGTCTATTTGTTAGATTTCTTTTGTGATGGTTATTAGTGTTTAATTGTTCACTTAATTCATTAATTTTAATAAGATTCACGAAAGATGGAACAAATACTGCTGATCTCTGTTTTACTGTATTTCCTATATCTCTTCATTTTGCTTTGACTCCTTTTTTTTCCACTTGTATTTCACATTGATGTACTTTCTGAATGTACAACAGCTTTAAATATGCTGTAAATGAATTACTAAGGTGTAAATAAGAACAGGTCAATACTGAGCTTTTTTTTTTTTAATGAGTCACACTTGGTAACTTTTTTGCTAAAACATTTAATATTCTCTACTGTAACATGAGTTACTGAAAAATCAAAAAGGTCTTAAAAGTTCAGAAAGGGATGGAAACCTTAAGAAGGTATTAGTAGGTCCCCATTATGGTGCACTGGGGAAAGAGGAGGCAGCCAAAGACTTTTGATGTAAGCCAATCTTGTCTTTCCTGTAGCAACACTCTCCCTTGTTATTAGTGTTTAATAGCAGCTAAATTTAGGAGACCAGGAGTTTAGCCTAAGACTCTGAGCTTATATTTAAAGATGGAACTTTTCAGAAGTGCTGGAATTATTTAGGGGTGCTTGTGTCTGCTAGCAAATTCTTAGTGCATTGAAAGCCAAAGGGCTGGGCCACTGGTCTAGTTTGGGAAGGAAGGGGTGGAGGGAGATATAAAATCCAAGTTTGTTCCTCTTGATAGGTAACCATTTAACAGAGATTAAAATATTATTCCTGAAATATATTGTGTTCCTCCTATTTGTCACTATTCTGAGGAAAAACAAAGGTCTTTTCTGGAATTCTGTTTGGTTTTTTTTAAAGAAAACTGGAAAGAAAATTTGCTACTGTCAAATAATAATAATACAAAAATTCTTTCCTTTCCTGTTTTCTCTTGCACAATAGGTCTCTTTAAATATAGAGGAGACTGAAGTGTACAACTCACTGGAGACTAAAATGTGCTTAACAACACGATTCATTGTGAAACTTTCTCATTAAGAGTGTAAAGAAAAGCACTGAAAGATCATAGTCTCTTATTCTCAGCTGATCACATATATGTTTACTGTACAAGGGGAATGTAAAGTACATACTACATCTGACTGAAAAGAGGATAGTTACAGGGTATTTTATGCACTTTAAGCAGTTTAGCAGCAGCATTAAAATTTTGTTCACCACAGTGCATCGTGTCTATTCGCAATAGCAGTTTGAAGGTCTCAGCTAAGGTTAGAAAATCAGAATAGATCCCATTCAGTAGGAGAATTTTGATGGCCTGCATTCCCATCTGTCAGGGAGTTTTATACCACTATCCATCTCCGTACAATTTGAGCACCTTCCTTGAAGAAGGAAAAATCAGTCAGGGTAACTAGGAAATCCAACTACCCCATTACTTCCCAATCATGTACAGACACTGTTGTCAGTGACATGCCTTACAGAATATTTAAAAGATGAGTTCTGGCGTTGTTAGCAGAATAAGAGAAAATCTAAATCCCTGAGAAGCTCTGATTATGAAAACACAGAGTTGGCAGAAGCTTCAGAAAGAGAGGATATGGACTGTTTCAAACGTTGGAAAGTTCAGCTGGCCACGTTCCACTTCTATTTCAGGACACAGTTAAGTGTTTTTAACCGACTTGCATGTGTGCAGCCGTACAAATTTGTCATGGAGAACAAAGGAATACATGTTTTAAACAAAACTGATTGGATTATATGCTTTACTCTGTTAGCTATTGAGGCTTTAATTAAAAAAAGAAACTCATCTTATTTGACAGTGTATCTGTACTGTCTCCGTGAAACCCCTGAAAATCTAATGGTTCCCTATCAGTAGGTCTAGGATTAATGTCCTTCTTAGGAAGGAATGAGAAGGGGGGGAGGTTGGGAGGACTTTGCTTTTTTACAGGGGACTAGAAATTGTGGTCACTGGCACCTGGATCATCAGGTATAGTTAAGAAGCCAGGAATTGCTTTAATGTAAAACTAAACTACCTGAGATATGGCTTAAGTTGTACTGGAAGAACTGAAGAAAGGTCCCAGCCCCAGTCCCCTCTCTTCTTGTGGAAAAATGTGTGCAGTTATTATAAAAGACATAACTAATTCTGTGTTTGGATAGAGTAGACATAAATGTGTCAGCAACACATGTGGCCTCCTACATGGGAGCATATTTTTTCATAAATTTTGCATGTTAAAGTAACTGGAAAAATTTTCATCATGTGCCAGTAAAATAGGATGAGGCTCTTTTGACCTCATGTCTTGACCATTATGAAAGTACAATTTAATTTCTAAATATTTTAACTACTTTTGGTATGTATATATTATAATATTTGCATTAATTTTCAAATGTAATTTTTCTTCAGAGGAAAACTAATCTTGAAATGGAAACCTTGAAACAAAAACATGATCTTATTATTACTGTAAAACTATCTCAAACTGAAAGAATGGTAGTAGAAAGTAGAGACTAATTGTTTCATTTCATCCCACAAACAACTTCCTGATGAAAGAGATTTTTCTCTGAGATTTTCAGTGTATTTCTCTTCAGTTTTGTATTGCTATTATTCTTGTTCTTTCATTAGTCATATCATAACATTTAAATAGTGTCTGCTGAAACCTGTAGGTCGTTGTTTTTTGCAGCAGATATGCCCTCTGATCATAAATGTTTGTATCTAGAAATTGATGTACCTAAGTTCAAGAAATGATGTATGCTATAAATAATAATGGCCAGTCTTTGCGAACGAAGATTTGGGAAAGGTCTTTACCCTTCGAGCCTGCGCAGTGGATTTTTTAGGTGAGACACAGTGTGTGCTGAACTGAGCCCACCCTTTAATCCTGAGGTTCATCTGCTGGGGCTGAGCCAGCTTGGACAGTGGCAGCGAGGTCCTCAGGACGTAGGTTTGTTTAGAGTGACCTTCTCTTAGATGGATGGCCTTACAGGGCTGACGGGCTCCATCTGCCCGGGGGAGTTTCCCTGACTGGGAATCGAACCTGGGCCGCAGCGGTGAGAGTGCTGCATCCTAACCACCAGACCACCAGGGGTCCCCCGATGTATGCTATGTACATATAAATAATATAGTAAATAATAATAACAAATATTATGGATACAATTGCAAGCAGACTAAGTTAATCTTTGGCACCTATGTTTTTTAATTTCATTATGTTGCTTTTTTTTTTTTTTAGAATGTTGGAAGAATTTCTGAATTTTACACAATTAAAGACATCTTGGAGAAAAGCTGTTTTAATAGATTATTACAGTGTGGGATTTTTGTGGGCTAAAGAAATGAACTTCAGTCTTACACAGCTCTCAGAATTCATGGAACTATTAAATTTCATCTTGGAGAACATCAGTGGTAAGTATAATTAAGAACTGTAAAATAAATATCTGAAATGGAAGGCAAGAATGTTTTCCAGTCATTGTAATAAAGCTATATTTAATTACAAGTAATTGTAAAATTATTTATTTTCCTCCTGAATGTTGGCATGCTAGACCTTGTGCCTGAAAATAATACTTATTGGCAGATGTTAAAACTTTCATTAGAGAAAACTGTAGTCTTTTGAGCAGAATATCCCTCATTCTTTGTTTGTACAGTATGTGGTACAAATGGGCCAGGTCCTGAAGAGACCTTTTCTTTGCTAAGGTAAAATAAATAATAATTACAGTAGCGTGAGAGCAAGGAGCTCCTAAATTCCAATTCCAGCTGTCTCAGTGACTGACTCACTGTAGCCTTGGGCACATTTCTCTGCTGTTTGAGATATTCAGTCCATCCTGTAGCATTACAGTGGGTGAATTACATTTATTTTATCCTTGGAGGTCAACTCGCAGGCAGCTTTCTATATGGCAAATGCTGCACTTCTGGCACAGAACGTGTGTTAACTAACAGTGGTGAGGAAGTAAACTGGCATCGCTGCGGAGGATGAAAAATGACAATGAAGGGGCTGGAACTCCTGTGGCTATGAGGAAATTTGCAACCAGGCTTGTAGCTTGGGTCTAGTGGGAATGAGAGAACTTGAAAAAAATGGTAGCAGTGTCCTCTAAAACCTTCTTTTTCAGAGATCCTAATGCTTGCTTAACATTCACTTTGAAGGTGATTATGTTGAGAAAAGCCCATCCCAGAGGAAGAATGAAAGGACTCAGCAGTTCCATTCAAAGAGAAGGCAAATATTTAAAATCAAGCTCATAACACTTATTATACTCTTTCATTGTAATTTAGTTCAAGGGCCTTTCTGACTTGGAATTTTGACAGAACATGTACGTGCTTTATGATAATTGGAATTCCAGTTGTCCTTCCTGTCTACAATGAGAAAGTATCTTAACATATGCTAACTATATTACTGTAACAATGGGGAAGAATGGAAACCTGTCAGAAATTAGTTTTATGAGGCTGTGTAATGCATGTGTATGCGACAGGCTGGTAGCACAACCAATTATTAAAGCTGACTGATGTTTTTCAGGAATGTGATCTTAGCTGCATAAAGCTTTGCCAAACTTTAACTCTTTAAGATGAAATTTTCCATGGCATTGTCTGCCTCGGATTAGTTTTTATACATAAAATTGCAACCGATCCTGTTCAATGGGCTTGCAGACAGAGGCTGTGGGGAAAAAAAAGTATTTTGTGTCTTTTTTTTTTTTTTTTAACGGCTCTAATACCCCTGTGCTTTGAGGTAAAGACATAAGTTTTGGCAAGCAAAGGTTGTGAATTTGCTTTTTGCTATTCCTGTGAAAATCCATTTGGATTTGGCTAAAATACATGGGGTTTAGGGAAAGAAAATGCAGTTTTTAAGTGCTTACAGGAGTGTTATATTTTCTTCACAGCTAAGTTCCCCGAATAATCCATTTTATAAAATACACTGTAGTCCAGGGCTGAGATGAATTTTCTTGTATTTACTGTTCTCAACTGGTGCAAGTTTCAAGACCAAACATTTCAATTAAGAGCAAAACTCTAATGTCTTCTATATTAATGACCCTTTACTTTCCCTTCCCTGCACTGGAAACAAGCAGCCTGGAGAATTAAACTGATTTGTCCCTAATAGCAAGACTGGCATGGAGCAGGAGGAATGGATTTAGAGGAAGGTAGTGGAAGTGCATTTAAGGCTGGTAAAGGAGAAAGGAAAACTGGAGGCTTTGGTAGATTGGGAGCCAGAATGAGTTACACGATTTGATTCCTCTTCCGTACATTGAGAGTAGAGTGCTCCTTACCTCACAGACGTACTGTGAGAGTCTTCCAGAGGGAGGTAGTTGGGGTTGAAAATCAGGTATGCAGAGGAAAGAGAAAATTTGGATGAGCTGGCAACAGATTTGGGTCTGGGTGATCCTGTTCTGTAGCTTTACTTCCCTACAAAGGGCAGTATTTCTGGTTCTATTGCTCCTCCTTGTTTCCTATGGCTTCTATTTCCTCCACATTCTCTGCATTTCTTTCTTGTCCCTTCCATTATGGTTATTTATATTGTGCTGCTTCTCTTACTGAAAACTGAGGTGAAGTTTTCAGGCCTTTGATTACTGTACCACTAAAGGGCAAAACTATAAAGAACAAAAGTCTTGTAAGTCTTCTAATTTGTTTTCTGTACAAAGAACCAAGGAGTGTATCAGTAGAGACTTAAAACAGTAATGAAAATAAATCTATTTAACCACTGGTGGATATTTCCCCATTTTTTGCTGTAGATTTTTTAGATAAAAAACGAAAAAATAAATTTTGTTCGAAGTTTTGTTTTTTAAACTCCCTGTGGTTTTAGTGATGGCAGACACTGTGTGCAAATCAGAAAGATGAATCCTTTCTTTTTATATGTTCAGCAGACACTGATATATTTCAGATTTTCCTCTTTGTCGAGACAGTTATCAAACAGAACTTAAATTCTAATTCAAAACTGCTTTGGCATTTAGTTTTGATTTCCAGGGTAAAAAAGTAAAGTAAGTATCTGTTCTGGAGAGGTGCAAAAATATCTTAAGTTTGATGATACATGGAGGGTATTATGCATATTCATGTTTAATTATGACTGTAAGCACTTAAGAAAAAAGTGGTTGCACTTTTTAATATTTGTTTCTGTATTAATGGGTTATGTTTTAAGGGGCATGGTCAGAAGAATAATATTTTACAATACATAAACAGTAGTAAATTTATTTTAAAGATAAAACGTACCCTGCACCTCAAATTTTCGTATCATTCTGCCTGTGGTTATCTCTGTATAGGTAAGAGGCCAAGCTGTACTGTCTTGAACACCCATTATTATGATCCTTCTGTTATGAAGGAAAGTTGGTGATTTTGTGATGGAATTTTAATGGACACACTGTTGATGAGAATAATGGCAACAGAGAGAGGTGTTTGACTGCTGTTGCTTTTTAAGTTGTCACATCTCATAACTAAAACTTCAAGAAGTCTTATAATTAAAATGGGCCAAAAAATCCCACCCCACCCTGTCATATTCATACATAGATTTTATTCTTTGGGATTACTTTGCAGACAAACATATGACCTTAGGAGATAATTTAAAAGAACTGGAAAGAGCAATGGCTAAAATAGGAGAAACTGATTCAGAACAAGGAGGTGACTTGAATTTCTTCAGCATTGAGCAAGGCAAAGCAATCATTGATTACTTCATTAACAGGTATTTATTTCTACAGAATCTGTTATTTCTTATTTAAGTAATATAACATAGTGGGGAAATTACTGATAAAATTATTGTTGATATTATTAAATATCAAATCATGAAATAATTCACATATTAAAAATTATTATTAAATTGCTGTTATTTAACTGGATATGTTCCTACTGTGCCAACATACTGCACAGATCAAACCTCAAACCATTAAAAAGAAGAGAGAATATGCAAGTAGCAGTAAAGATGTAGCCTCAGATGTCAAAGCCCAGAAAATAAATTTAGACTGGAAGTTTATCAAACTGTAAGATTCTGCTGAAAATATTCCTTCTGGGTTTTGTTTTGAGTAATAAAAGGAAACCATTAAAATGGTATATAGAGAATATTCTTGGTTTGTTTTTAAAGCATGCTACTTTTAAATTCTATCTGAATAGAATTTTAGGTCTTGTCTATAACTCTAGAGTATTTGTCTGGCCTTGGCAGCTGTAGTGGACTTCTTAAGTGATTTGAAGTTTTTTACTTTACAGAAGTAAAACTTAAGGCTACAATCATATGAGTCATAAAAATGTTGCATTTCAAAATCAGCAAAAGTTTAGTATCTCCATGAAAATGTTTCATGACAGAGACACAGAAAGAGATGCTAACAGCAGTAATTCAGTTGTTTATCTGAGAAGAATACTAAGAGTCTGATAGCACCTCTCTATGTAAAGTTTTTACTATATAGTAACGTGTACAGATGAATCTCCACTGAGATTCCACGTTTAAGTCAGTGACTATATTCACACACCACTGTTTCCAGTATATGATGGAGAGAGTGGTTCTCCAGCTCTTTTATCACCCATGAATGTCAGGGGGCAAGGACAAGAAAATAAGGATGTTGCTCTTGTAATATGTGCTCATACCTGTCCTGCATCTGTAGCCCTTCAGCCCATTTTTTTACCTGAATGGTGGTTAGGGGGGGATTTGTGGCAGATGGGCATAAAAACTGAGTAAGATATAACTCATCCATACATAGATTTGTTGGGAATTTTCAGACCGTTCTTTTGCTAGGAAAAGTTTAACATGTCAAAGAGGGGTTTTTTTAGAGTGTTTTCCTGAATGCAGAAAAGTATTTCCTCTTGAAGACAGGCAAAAATATTAGGATAGTTGTGAGCCTTTCAGTTTATAGTACTCGGATTCAGACAGGAGATTTAAACCCATCACAGGCGATTTGTCTTACAATTGGCTATAAAGTTTGTCTCTTTCTCCTGCTCTCTGATTTTTTTCTTTTGCTTCTTTTTCATGGAAAATACGAAAAAACTTCAGGTTCTTCCCTTATGAAATGGGAACATCTCTTTAAATCTCAAATTTCTGTAGTCAAGGCAAAACCATGTCCTGCCAAGTACTAGCCCTAAACTAAAAGGAAACTTGGCATTTGAGATGCCTCAACTCAACTTCTTTTACTTCTCCCTTCCTGTCTGTGTCTTTTGTGTATTTATATGGAACAAATGTTCTCTCCAAATAGCATGTCTATAGCTCTTTTGTAAATTATCCATTGAGAGATATCTTGTCCATGAAGTAATTCCTTCACAGTCACAAGAATTTCATCCGAGAGATTAGGTGCTCCATCCTTCTACCACCAAAGTATTAACTGGGCAGGAATACAATCAAGCCACAAGATTTTTGCAGCAGAATGGTATTTTGGCTGCCAGATTTGTGTTTGTATGTTCAAACCACTCACTTTATTACAAATGTGTGCTGTTGCAAGGTCATGGATATACACACATACACTGAAATGTGTTGTGTATGTCCAGTTTATGCTCTCCATTATTTCAGTCATTGGAATATTTTTTCCCAAATAGGAATGGAATCAGCAAACTTACATGGGTGTACTTTGAACTTTGTGAACTGAAAAGTAGGTTGACTGAGTTTTATTACAATTCAAATTAATGTATCATTTCAACATTTTTTCTTGTTTTATTTTAAATGATAGGCCTATAGCTTTTTTTTTCCATTCAAGACACTATGACATGTTGTAGTTCAGATCACATTTTTACAGATGAGTTCTAAACCCGTGAGATTTATAATGGAAACAGAGACAAATGCTTAACTACATTGGCACAAACTGTGCAGCAACTATAATGACACCTTCAGGTTTGGTGGAAGGTGACAGTTATCATCTTTTTATCTTGTCTCCTTGGGCAAACACACATCAACATAGCTCTTGACATTTTCTTTCAGGAAGCAGTGGAGCTGGGGAAATATGTCATTGTTAATCACCTTCAGATTCTCGTATGACATCATAAAAGGGTCTATTCTTAATCTTACTTACACAAGCAAAATTTTTTTTATGTAATTGCTAAAAACACTGGTATGGAATTTTTTAATTGTTTGTAACAGATAGAAACAAAAAAACATTTTCTATTATATTGTTAAAAGAAAGAAAACTACAGTATTTTTTCAAAACAAACACTGATGTATAATTTACATGATTTGATGTAAAGAGTGTTAGATGGAGGAATTCTTTCCTTGATACAGGATTAAGGGTGCCAGGTTGAACAGAGTTCTGTTTAAAAATAAAGACATAAAATTCAGAAATGCCAAATATAATTACTTGTATTTTGGGGGGATATTATAAATTATTTGTACCTGTAACATAATCTATTAAGAATATCATAATACATTTGGAGGGGAAGGGGAAAAGACCTGATTTTTAGGTGCTGTAAATCTGACTCATTTCCAAACCACTGGAATAAGTAAAAGAAAAAAGTCTGAAAAGCTATTTTCTGTCAGTGCAGTTGGAGAGATGTATGTCATATTTCTTGTGTGTCTGTGATGTTCATAAAATATTTTGTTGTCTTTTTTTCAAATAGTCCCTGTTAAAATTTTGCCAAATAATAGCTGTGTACGTGAGGGGACATGTATTTCCGTAAATTGGTGTGAGTCATTTCCAGGTTAAGTCCTGAAGACTGTTTAAACATAATTTCTATATCCACTGAAACATGTCAAGAATTCTTTGGTGAAGTGCTGCAATAAAAAGGTACTGCAAATGAAATGGCAAATATTGTAATAACTTAATTAATTGCCGGTGTGTTTTGGGTTTGGGAAGGGAGCCTGTAGCTGACGGTAGCCAAACTTCTTATGCAGGCCTTGCAGGTACCAAGGCAAGAGGCATTGCTGACCCACTGATAGCTCTCTTAAGAGAAGAACCTGTGTCCTGTCACTAGCCAGAAAGCACAGGAACCACTTAACAGATGTTCCCTGCAAATATTGCTGTAGTTTTCATGGATACATCAGGCAGGAGTGTGATAAATTCTTGGAATCGTCCTTCAGCCTGAACTTGCTATGAAATCATAGAGCTATGTTTTAAATTGTATGCCAAAATGATGTGACAGAAGCCAGAAGTTCTCTATCATGATTTTAAGAGGAGAAGTAATTGTAACAGATGGACTGTGACAAACGAAACCTTTGATTAAACAAAATGCCATATCATTGATCATTAGAAAAGGAAACAAGGAAAATTATTTAAAACACGTGAAAAGGAAAGCCATACATGTTTTAAGGAAGATAAATACTTTGGACCATTGAGAAAGTCTATTTAAAGTTACTTCTGTTGTAATACACAAAACTGCTGTGTGTCAATCTAGTTTTTTAGTTTGTCTTTGAGGAAATAGTAAGCTGATTTTGCAAGGTGACCTTGAGAGAATAAATTATTCCATTCTTTATTGTTTTGGTGTTCTAAGATCAAACTTGCTCCCTGGACTGGCAGCCCATCCCAGAATCTGAAAGTTGATTTGGCTTTGTTTCCCTCTTGTCTGCTGTTGCTGATATTAAAGGCATAAGTATCCTGGTGAGAAGTGTTTCAGGAATTACTTTTTTCAGAATAGAACTTTGTCTTCTTAGAGTTCAATTCTGTAAGGACTAAGTGGATGTATTTTTAAGTATCATACTGCATTTTCTACAGCCATGTCATAGTATATTCTGCAAACTAAATATGCGGTGTGTTGTACCTGAAGTTAAACAACGGTTTCTTTTTAGAATTTAGAGTATTACCATGCTGGAGGGTAACCCTTAGTTTAACAAAATTTGTAATATTTTTTTCTTTCCAAAGATTTACAACTGTAATAGTCCGTATTCTCTTGTTTTTCAGCTTATTTAAATACTATAGAGTGTATGAGTTCCTCTTCCAGCATCCTAGAGGACTTGAGTTAAGTGATGAGGTGAGTCATTTATATAGATGGAACCCATTATGCAGAGTTACTTAATGAGTGCAGCCTGGCATATGTTTTATATTGCTCAAAGCAACTTCACGTCAACATTACTACGTTATTAACGTAAAATGGCTGATTAAAGAACACAAGTTAGATGTTTTGATCCTCGTATTCAAGATTAATTTTGGATTTCAAAAAGGTGTAAATGCACTGCTTGGTTAAGCTGTTAGTTGTGTTAAATCAGGAACACTTTTGTGTATGTATTTATAAGTTGATGCATGTAATTTGAATTAGCAACGCATGAGTCTGGTTCTATTTTAAAACCAGCAATCAAAATCAGAAAAGGTTGTGTACCAAGCCCAGTCTGACCACAACCCTAATATTTATGTATGCATGTGTATGTACAGAGTTTGGTTTCTGCTGTAGCCACAACAGTTAATTATACTGGCTGTAAAGAAACAAGCGAGCTAGAAATTGAGCATTTTGAAAGCATTCAGTTAATAGCAGTGAGGTGGTTTGACTGTAAACTTTGTCATGTATTCTGACTTGCATGTGAAAAAATACATAGGAAAATGTGTTGAAGCAGGATGTGACCTTTAATCAAATAGACAGATTCAATTAATCAAATAAACCTTTCTTTAGCCTCACTGTGCCTTTTGAGGATATATGTTACAATACATTGAAAAAGATTTACATTTTAAATTTGTATTAGGAGACAACCGATTGCTCAGAGAGGCACAGTAGTGAAATTTTTTTGATGGCACTTATCTTTTAGCTTATCAGTACGCAGTGAAGTTAAAATTAATGCACTGAAAAATTTTTTTTATGCTTTGAGCTGGTGGTTGGACTCCATAAATGATGTGGGATAATTTCTTTCTGTGTTGCTTTTAAATAGCCATATTATAAAAAAGGACTTTTCTTGACGTGGATTTGGAAATTTTTCTTATGATTTCTAAGGTGGGCTAAAATTCCAACTATGATGCAATCGGTGACTAAACTGTCAATACACAGGTGGAGCAGGATTTAAGAATTACTATATTAGAGTGGGTGTTTTATATAGCTAATCAGATCAATGGGTGGTTAGCACTTCCTAACTGGTAAAATTGATTTTAATGAAGCTTTGATTAAGTAATTCTTGTGTAAATTTGGGTAATGTATCGTATCAGTTTTAAACTAGTGTAAAAGAAACATCTCTGTGTTTTCTTAAAACCCATTTGTGGTGGGTGAGATCAGCACGGGCTGTCCCAGCCACGGAAGGGTGGTTGCCCTGCACAGGTGTTGGGGAGCACCACCTCTGCTGAGGGTATCACCTCCTCCAGGGAATGACAGAAATGGATTGCTGGGAATGACTTGGGTGAGGATCCATCAAAGCAACAAGTGCCATCTACAGTTATAACTGTCACAAAAACCTGCAGACAGTTTTTAGCCATAACTCCTTTATGGCCATTTCTTACCTATGGCAGCACTTCGGTTTAATCCATTTTGTATTGAGTTACATGGCAGAGAGCTTTTAATTTGTCCAACCACACTCCAACACCCAAGAAAATCAATAGTTATATTCTGCTAGAGTCTATTTTGATAGGGTGATGCATTGTTCTTCAATAAGTAACAGTTTAAGGCATTGAAGCTGCACATACAAATTTATGGCGTTATTTGTGCTTGCTTTATGTGTTAAAGTGTGATGAGAGGTGAATTCAGCATAGAATTCAATCTCTTTTGCTACAACTTTGTTATATTTAGAAATGCTTATGCATAAAGGAGAGCATAACTTCTGTATTTCCAGTCCCTCGGAGGAGCAGCAACTCCCTGAGGAGTTGGTGGGGCTGCCATGGTTTGGTGTGTGTCGCTGTGGCAGGAACACACCTGGAGTTGCCTGCTCTGCAGTGGATCTGCTCAGGGAACAGGAGATCCACTGGGATCTCTCTGTGCTGAAAGTAGACGGTAAATCTGTGCTGAAAGGCTGACTGCAGTCCTGCCATGTAGACCAATGTCTTACAAAGAAAAGAAGGCCACTCCAGACACAGCATGGCCCACAGCTGGATGTGATCCTGACGTTGAGTGCGATTAATGTCTAAAAAGTTTTCTTTTAGCTCCAGCAATAAAAGCCTGTTCTTTTGGAACAGGGCACTGTAAATTGTAATGGCCAGATTTGTCCAAATAACAAGAACCATGGTGTTCCAAGAGCTTAATTACAGTATTATCTCCTTTTGCAAATGAACACTTTGAGACAAGTCAGTGAAATGACTTGCTTCAACAGAATTGATTTGCTTCCACTGAAATGGCTTTAGCTCAGTGAGATGTGTGCCGAAAGAATTACCTACTGAATAAAAGCCCAACAGCCTAACGAGAAGAGCTGCTCCTTTAAAAGAGATGCAGCTACAACAAATAAAAGCCATACTCGGTGTTTTAATGGATATCCTTTCAGAGAAACCGCAGTGTGTGTTTTCCAGAGAAATCTTATAGCGATGGGTTGTAAACTCATTGGAATTTTTTTTTCTCTAGCACAGGCAATTATACAGTGTTCTCAATCAGGTTTCCTTTTTGATCTTTCACTGCAGTCATTTCCAAATGACCCTGTCATTTCCTGTGTAGAATAAAATCAGACAAGAAAAGGGAAATGACTCAAAAGTCAGGTTATGCATACAGTATCTGTGCCCGTGCCACTTAACAAAATTTAAGTTATTTAAATGTAGCACATAATTAGTGGAGCTTCACAATCTGATTAATATTCTGCATTTGATGCAGCTAGCATAATGGAGCCACCTTTCTAAAATACAGACAGTATTTAAGTCTTTAAAAAAGTAACAAAGACCTAGCTAATTTAAATATGGTTTTTTCTTGCATTGGCTAAAGCCTTCAAACCCCAAACTGCCTGAGGTGATCATATTGCCTAGGAAAAAAAAGGTTAAAACAGAAAGACATGAATGCTTGGTTAGATGATAAAACACACATCACACTTCTAACCTACTTTGACAGTATTTAAAATTTAAAACTTGCCTTTCCAGTTATCAAATCCCTTACTTCTCCTTCGTTCCAGATCTACAAAGACCTATATATTATGTATGCATGAATACCTGTTAGAAAACATGACGGTACAAGGAACTGCTGAGAAGTGTTAAGATTGCCAAGTAAATTTATTGCTTTTTTTCCTGTTACGATTATGAGCAGTTCCCCCTATTTAGAATTATTACAGAAGAAGCTGTGCTTTAGCTGTTCTCTGGCTGTGATCCAAAATAAAATGCATGTAGTGCTAACACACCAGGGTTCTTCAGGAATATTGTTGTTAAAGAGACTGTTTTTTTTCCTTTTGCCTGTTCTGGAGGTTTTGCTCTCTAGCTGTGATTTAGTGCACCTATATTAGCCTGCAATTTCAAGGAAAGCAAAAGGACTACAGACTAAATCTTGATGTGCAGGGATTCAGTGGAGCAATTCCTATTAACGCATGTCAGATCTTATAACAAAGGTTTAAATTGTTAATACATGAGTTGCATAGAAGTTTTTATTCTTTTCTATTTCTATGTTCAGTTAATTTATTTTACTCTGATAGGATGATATATTACAGCACATCTTGTAATTTTTTTCTCACATTTACAAATTGTACCTTATACTGCAGTTCATGTTTTTTGCTGCTCTCTGTTGTGTATTTTTGGATGGAATGAGGCTGAGGTCTTTTGGGATTATGTCTGCTTTGAAACATTTCCTAATAAAAATAATGTGGTTGGTAAATCTAGTTTTATTCCTAGTTGCTTTAGCCAGCCTGATGGAGTAATCTGCTATTTTATGGTCCAGATGACTAGCTAAGTTTGACTTCTTGAAATAGTAGTGCACAATGTAATTTTCTTTAGAGATGTCATAGTGGGTCAGGTTGCAATAAAAATATCAAAGATTAAGTTTAATGGCAGTGCAGATTCAGTATTATAGCAGTCACTAGATATCATCCTCTGTACTTAAAGTTCCAAAACAGTTTCCATTAATGCCTTCTTTCCATGTACTCCTTACTTTCTGAAATATTAAGCTTTCGGACTATGTCTGGTCGTTATCCAATTGTGGGTTGGGTTGTTTTCTGGTTTTTTTCAAGTTTGAACAAAATCCCTTCTGTGTTTGAATTTAAAGGGGCGAATAGGAAGAATATGCTATTTGAAAGCTAATAAAGGGTGTTTTCTTTTTCTGATGGCAAAAGTCCTGAAATCTGGGACTTGACTTTGATATGTAATCGTCATTAGGTGTTGCATATTTGGATTAGTTAATCAATCATTGTTTAAACAAATTTGCTCAATGATTTCTTGAGAACTGCATTTTAAAGATCTGTGAAAACAGAACATTTCTATAAGCATATCAGTTCACACTAGAGAGACTCATTCCCCAGCTAATGGAGCGCTTTTCAAAGCCTAGGGGTTTCAGATATTTGTAATGCTTAAAAATCAGTGAGTTGATTTTCTGTAGCTTTGTTTTGTAAATATCACCATGGCAAAGGCACCAAGAGGAGCGTAGGACTGGAAGGGATGTCTTCAATTGTCAGCTCTACTGCCTCTTTCTTGTAGGGAAACACACGTAATTCTCTTGAGAAACTTGTCAAACTCCAGTTTAAAAAGTTAACTTTTTTTGTCTTTGCTCTGCCAGTTAGAGAGCTGCCCTGGTGCCTGGTTTCTGTAATGGTTATAAAACTTCAATTTCTAGTCTGAATGTATCCATGACAAGCTTATGTGCATTTGTCCTTGTGCCAATTTGTGCCAGTATTGACCTTTAGCTCTCATTCCATCCCCAGTGTTTATTTTTCTGGTGTATAAAGAGACAGCAATCTTATTGTCAGCCTTCATTTAGTTAGACTAGAAAAGCCAACCTTCTCTAATCTTTGCTTTCAAGGTAGACTTTTGATACATATATTCTTCCAAAGGTACCAGCCTCTAGTCATCCTGTTGGCCTTTTTCTATAATTGTTCCACTTTAAATCAGTTTTGTTTGAACATAAGTGACCAAACTGACATAATATTGTTGCTGAGATAAAAGCAA